CTCAATTGATGTGGCTTGGCCACTGGTTTAAAGTGATTTTTCTCTATAGCTCCTCGGGATGTACTTTATAATTTTAAATATGAATAAATTTATAAAAGTATTTTTTAAATAAAATTAATGACTTAACCATTTTTCTTAATTTTTATACAATTAAATGTGCCTTAATAAAAACCGGAGGAAGAAGTAGATACTGTACATTGTGACATGTTCTATAATGATTATTCTCTTGATAATTTCCATGAAATTTCGGTTTTCTCCAATCTATGATATGAAAGTATAGGGAGAATCCGATGAAGTCTTCCATTGTTAACGGCTAAGCGGGGGTGATTTGTCCCCATCGTCAAAAGACCAAGTTAAGCTTGACTTTTTGTTGCGAATATTAATTATCACAGGCTTTGAAGTTAATTAGCAGCCATTTTTGATTTGCTGGACAATAAGTTTGTTACAAGAAAGAAATTTGTCATTTTAAAAGTTTATAAAACAATATTAGCATTAGGTATTATTTTATGAAAAAAATTGATAACCAATTCTATCCTTATTTGTACTACTTTTACTAGTAATTAGTAAGAGATAATTATGGAAAGAATGATAAAATAAATTAGGGGAATTAAGAATTCTTAATTTTTTAAAAAAAATTATGACATATCAATTGTATATCTGAATTCGAATTTAATGATAAACAGGCGAAAAAAAAAAAGAAAACGATAGCCGTAATGGCTCGCATCGTTCAATAAATTGCTAACGGGAATTTTTGCCATTGATCATTTAATGACGACTTTCGCAGTTAGCTCGAGATTCCTCTGACCATGTGGGGCAAATTACTGTCGCTAAGTTAGTTTTTCTTCTTCTTCTTTTTCGTTCCAAAGTGGAATTTAATTTCCTAAACTCATTGTGTCATTCTATTATTTTGAGTACATTTGGACCAAAAAAATAGGTGCTTTAACTCTTTAATTATGCGCTGTTAATCTATTACTTTCAGCAGAAACAATATAACATAACAAGTCAAACTCCTCCATGCATATTTTCTTCTGCATGAATAATTAAAGTCATTATACTATTGTTATATGAATAATTAGTTTCAATAAAAAAGTAAGGTGAATAACTCAAAATGAAGTCCGGAGAAAAAACTCAAAAAAAAAAAACAAAACAAAAAGAAAACAATTACTCTACATGGTTCTTTATTTTCCAACTTAATATATTGACAGCAACTTTGACTCTAATAAACAATGGAGATCATCTGCCATCACTAGTTATATATACTTGATTATACAGGCAATGTATCAATGTCCACATGGGAAAGTGATATTGTGGCAAAGAGATTTTTATGGTTATCTGCTCCATCATCCAACACAATATTGTTTTGTTTGTTTGTTGAATCTTCTTCAACATTTATGATTGTTATAGAACCTTCCTCTATTGGCCTAGTTCTTGTAAAACTACCACTCAGGAATTGTCGAATACACGTTTTTGCGAGCATAATAGGTTTTCGCCAAATACAACTTTCAGAGATTAGTAAAGCTAACAATGAAAGAATTCCGATTAACATGAACAAACCTGCAAAGCTATAAGTAGTGAGCCTGTTGGTACTCGAATCATCTAACGATGAAGGAGATAGGTCTCGGCCTTTATCGTTGTCACTGCTTCCAAAATATTTCTTCTCAATCCCATCCATTTCTATACTTTCTCGCACATGCAATATGGCTCTGGAGAAGTGCGAGGTTAAGTTACAGCCTTTGGGAAATGCATGAAAAATCATGCAAATAAATTGGCATGCATAATGGGGAGACGGAAATGGGAAAAGAAAAGAAAATTAAAGACATCACATCTTAATTTAATACATCAAAACTTTAGTTTATGAGTCATTATATTTTATTATATATTAGTTATTAAGTTTAATTTTATTTTTATGGGGGAAATTCTAATATTGGCTCTAGTTTACTCACACTTAAACATCCTAAAATCAAAAACAAAATTTAAACTGACTTTAAAATATAGAAGGGAACTCACAAAACCAAATCCATCATTGCGATGCCTAGTTTCGACCATGGCATGGTTGGAACCATAGTGTTTGAGGAAGACCTTGATGTAGGGAACTTCATCATAAATAGCATCAATACCACCTTTATTGCTTCCTTTATCTAAAGCCTCCTTATATTGTTCAATGGTGGAGTATTTTTTCACCCTTGATTTCTCAAAACTCAAAACTCTTCAATATGCTTCTAATAAATGAACCACCCTGGTATCCAACCTTAACATTGTGGTCATTCATAATGTCATACTCACTAGGGTAACGAGGTTGAAGCTAATGTATTGTCAAGATTGATGACAAGCATGCTGTATAACTTTGCATTAGCACAAATGCTAATATCACCACAACACAAGCACAAACCTAGAGCAATTCTTGGCCAATGATTCTCTTGCAAATAGCATAGAAATTTAAATCCAAAACAATATAATTAAAAAATGTGTATTTTAAGGCAAATTACACCAGATATGTAGTGGTGAAACGGAAACAAATCGTTTGCAAATAAAATTGAGATATATAGCAAGGTTTCAAACTCACTTTCAAAAAGAATTGCTTGTACTACAGGAAACCATAGAATTGAAACCCCACCAAGTTGGTTCTTACATGGTGAATTTTCAAGTCTGGAATCTTTCTTGACATCGCGTTCCATGAATAGTATGATACCTCCTATAAAAATACAGATGATGGCAATGGATAACCATAGATCTCAGCTAGAAGGTCGAACAAAAATCCACATATCTAACCATGGATCATGTCGAACCTTTACAAGTATCTTCACGTCAGATTGTGTCTATGGCAATGTAAAATCCACAAAGTTGGACCGATTTGCCATAATTGTCACATTTCCCACCACAGCATCATACTGATATATCATTAAAAAGATAAAGAAAGAATGAAAGAAGGGGAAAAATATATAATAAAAAAAGCAGTCATATATTAGAGTCAACGTCAACTTTCCAAAAAAAAAAAATGCACGTATAGATACAAGCTTGAGTAGTAATAACTCTCTAACCTTTCCTTTAGAAATCTGGTCAAGAAGCGCATTGTAATCCTCAACACAGCTTCCATCTTCGTTTGCGAAGGCTATATACTCCTCGGAAATATTGTGAAGGTAAGCTTTAAAAACCTCAATGGAATAGCCCTGAGCCTTCTTGACCTGACTCTTATTTCTAGAATCCAGTTCTAAATCCACGAAATCTGTTAAGCCAAATTTCTTAGGAACACCAACCGTCAACTTCTTGCTTCCCAGGAGTGAACCTGCATCATCACCTGCTCCAATCTGAGCTATTAACTGGACTATAAAAGAAGTCATGATAACGTATGAATTACAAGTGATTTTTTTGACCTGTCATCTTCGATGTAAGCTTCATATGACTGTGTCAACTTATGAATTACAAGTGATTTTTTTCCCTTTGGTCACCACAATTAACAAGAGACTTAATATTTGAACATGACTTGTTGAGACTTGGCTTCAAGCTAGCCTAAGCTAGCTTTGATGATTGAAGTCTTAATGTTCCAATCCAACAGCTTCCCTGAATAATGCTAGCCGGGACGAAATCAAGGAAGAAACTTCGAAATTTCGTCTCTCGATAAATATTTTTCTCGTTTCAAAGATGAATATAGCTTACTTATTTTTTAAAATAAAAATTTGAATTGTTTAAATTTAACTTATAGTATTTGAATTTTAAATTTTATTTTAAAATATTTTAAAATTGCAATATGAATACTGTGTTTTAATTAATATGGATTTATTTTTAAAAAATTACAATTAAAAGATAACATTTTAATCTCTTAATTTGAATTGAATTGACTAAATTAAATCAAAATAAAAGAAAGATGGGCACCATTCATTTTGGACCTAAACGGAATCATTAAGTGGTGCGATTGAGTGCATGCATGGGGTGCGAGTAGTATGAACGGCAACGTTTTCTTTTCATTTTTTAATTATTAAACCACTCAATATCTGGAGTCACTTAGAACTGTGACTCGTTTAAGGTAGTGTTTGGTTTAAGAAAAAAAAATGTTTTAATGACTACTTGTTTAGTTAGAGAAGGTGGTAGGGAAGATGAAATATTTCAATGATTTTTGTTTGGTTTAAAAGAGGATTCCTCCCCTCCAATTTTCTTAACCAAACAACTTCTCATCCTCCCGGGAAAACCTTTGTCCTAAATTAAAACTAAGTTTTGTCAATATTCTAGAGAAGTTGAATAATGATTGAACAACGACATTTTGAGGACTCGAGGCTTGAACAGGAACAGGAGAGAAAATGTCTCGAGTTTCTTCATTGTTTAGTTAGGGGGACCTTCGTGACACTGTTATTGCAAGGTGACGTGGTCTTTATATAGATTTGTCTTGCTAATTTCCATAACATTTCGGTTCTCGTAAGTATGATGCGACAACTTACGATGACTTTGAGTCATCTGAAAGTGAAAAGGGAGAGTACGAAGTGCCTTCAATTGTTAACGCGGGCAATTTGTCTCCGCAGACAAACCAAAGACGATCTTGACTTTCTGTAGCCAACATTTAATTATCGAATACTTTAAAGTATTTTGCCCCTTGGAATAAAAGGAGATACTAAAGTACAAACAGAACTTGAACAAAGTTGCAAGATCGACGCACCCTAGTTATCCAGATTCATCAAAACCTTATCCTTGAGGAGGAATGATTGAAGAAACGGGAGTATTAAAAATCCATCATATCTCAATTATACCTATTATTGAAATTTTTGGAAATATTAATCATTGGCCAATATAATTTAATAATTTTTAGTTTTTTTCATAAGATGTATATATTTCGCACTCTTTTTATTTGCTGCTGGTCCATTAGTTGCAGAAACATTAATATAATGGCCAAATAATTAATTAAATCCACTATACACTATTTCTATGCATATGTATTTTTGTCAATGAGAAAGTAATGAAAATAACTACCAAACAAAAGGAAAAAAATGTTTAATTACTTAAACAGGCAACGTTTAATTATCTGCTAGAACTTCTGATCCAATATATTCTGCGCGTGTATAACATTCTTTGTCATCCTTTATTGTTGTTGGAGAACCTTCCTCTAATGGACTGATTCTTTTAGAGCTCCGACTGAAAAATTGTTGGCTATAAGTCTGCGCGAGCATGACAGGTTTTCGCCAAATATGACATTCAGAGACTAGCAAAGCTAACAGTGAAAGAATTCCAATGACCATGAACAAACCTGCAAAGCTGTAAGCTGTAAGACTGGGACTCGCATCATTTGATGATGATGAATTAGATAGTTCTTGGTTTTTATCATCATCGCTGCTTCCAAAATATGTCTCCTGAATGCAGTCCATTTCATTACTCTCGCTAATATTTAATATGGCTTTAGAAAAGTGCGGGGTTAGCGTGGAGCCCTTGCGAAATGCCTGAAAAATTATTCAAAATGATTCAACAGACATGTCAACAAACGGCTATGCAACCTTAATTATTGATGGGAAAAGAAGAGAAGAAACAAATTAAAGTATCTACTGCTGTTACGACAACAACACTGGCTAATTAACAGTTAATTAGGATGGTATTTGGATGGATGAATTTGGACTTGGATTTAAAATCTCACATTTAAAAATATTTGTTTAGATCGTGTAAAAATTTTCAAAGGCAAAGAGAGACAAACTAGAATTTAAAGCGAGATTGGAAATGTAAATCGTTTGCCTCTATTATTCATTTGAGAGACTAGAAGAGAGATGAGGGTGATAATTGATCTCTATTATTCATTTGGTGAGAGATGAGAAGAGAGATAAGGGTGACAGGGACATCAACCATAAAAACATGAAAAGAATGAAAGAATTTAAATGGCTAGAATTTTAAATATTTAAGGTACAAAAGAAATTTAAAATTATGAAGAAATTATAATAAGAAATGGATTTGAAAATTAATAGATTTTTATGTATTCAAATGAGGAATTTGGCAACAATTCAAATCCCCATTAATTCAAATGCAATAGAAGTATGATTTAGATTTGTTTTAAATATAAATTCAAATTTTAAAATAAAATATAGAAATAGTGAAAGTAAATTTTTTATTCTAATTTTTTAAAAAAACTTAAAAATATAAAAAATAAGTATAGAATTTAAACCGAGGACAAGATTAGAGATAAAAACTCACAAAACCAAATCCACCAGCATGGTGCCTAGTTCCAACCACGGCATAATTGGAGCCATAATTCTTGAGGAAAGCCTTAAAGTAGGGAGCTTCATCAAAAATAGCATCAACACCACCTTTACGACTTCCTTTATCTAAAGCCTCCTTATAGTCTTTAATGCTAGCGTAGCTCTTCACCCTTGACCTATCGATCTTCAAGCCATTGATCAATAAGTCTCCCACAAATGAACCGTGATTGTATCCAACAATAATGTTGGGATCTTCTGTAACATCGTTCTCACTAAGGTACCGAGGTTGCAACTGATGTATTGTCAAGATCGATGATAAGCTTGCTGTGTAGCTTTGCATAAGCACAAATACCAGTATCAACCACATCACCAGCACAAACCTTGAACAATTTTTGGCCAGTGATTCTCCTGCAAATATTAACAAAAAGAAAGCTAAATACAATAAAGCGAATATCAAGGACACAAGAGATAGAGAACAAGATTTAGTACTCACTTTCAGGAAAAATTGCCTGTACAACAGGAAACCACAGGATAGAAATCCCATTGAATTGTTTCCTACATGGTGCATTTTCATGCGTTGAATCTTTGTTGACATTACGTTCCATGAATAGTAAGATACCTCCGATAAAAGTAGAGATTATGGCAATGGACAACCAAAGACTCCAACTAAATGGTCGTACAAAAATCCACATATTCAACCGTGGATCATGTCGAACTTTCACAAGCATCTTCACATTAGAATGCGTATATGGTAACGTAAAATCAGCATAATTCAACCGTTTTGCCAAAATCGTCACATCTCCCACCACAGCATCATACTATTTATTAATAAAAAAAACAAGGGAGAGCCAGATGTTGAAGTTAATGTCTTTGTGTGTATTGATGGTAATTATACCAAATAGAATGAAGAATAAATTCATCAGAACACGATGCAAATATAATGAAGAACATTGCTATGCAAGTTTGAAAAACTCTGTACATGCACTCGCTTGACCGATATGGAGTGATGCGGTCATACGGTCCAGAATTTTTCATAAAATCTGATGATCATGATTACACGATTGAGGGAAATGTGATTCGACATGGGCAAGATGTTGAATAAAATTTTTTGACTCTTGAAAAGAGTTAATTATATGTATATAGCTCCATATATATAACTCATCATTTTTCCTTAAAAATATTAAATATTCATATCAATCTCTATTAAAAATTTAATTATTAAAGTAACGGACCCAACTCGATTTTTTTTTATCAGCTCAATATATATATGTCAAGCTCAAACCAACATGAACCATTGAAATAGATCTCTTAACTTGCACTAGTACTGAATTGAAGAGAGAGAAGGAGGAACCCGACCCCTATATATGAAACCCATGGGCATAGAGACGTAGCACATGCTTTTCTCTCTAATTCAGCAACGATACAGTACATTTGAGATCTTGATAATATCAATAGTAATATGTACAAGACTGTACAGCAACTAACCTTTCCTTCGAAAATCTGGTGGACAAGTGCGTCGTAATCCCCAGCACTGTTTCCCTCTTCGTCTACAAAAGCTCTATACTCGAACGAAATATTGTAATTCGAACGCTTAAGGTAGGCTATTGTGGCATCGAAGACGTTAATAGAATAGCCCCCAACCTGGACGACCTGATTGCTATCAGAAGAATTGAGTTGTTGTACATCCACAAATTGGGTGTAGCCTGATTTATAAGGAAGTCCAATGATCAGCTTCTTCCCTCCCAAGAGTGACCCTGCATCATCTTCTGCTTCAGTCGGAGCTATTAACAGCACACCACAAGAACAAGAAATCATAAGGAGGAAGCCATAGCAGTAGCGATTTGGGCATGCCATCTGACAGAAGTGCTGCGTCTGCGGTAAGAAAATGAAGAAATTAAGAAGCTAGCTTGTTAGTTTTGAGTTCTTAATCATTGCTGTCACTTTATTTATATGGTTTTTTCCTATGCACTTGTTAGATGATGTCGGTGATTAATCACGAGAGACTTCGCTTGAAAAAGTCTAAGCTTACTTTGATTGATTCAAGCCTGAAACGTTTCAGTTCACATGCATTTAGGAGATTTCTCAGCAACTTCGGTGTATCTAATTTGAGAATTTCACAGAAATTGATTAGTTGATTTTTAGTGAGCAAATACAAAAGAGAGTAGAAACTACTAGTTAGAATTGAAACGGTACCACAGAGAAGGCGGTGCAATTCAGTGCGAGTTGTTAGAGGAGGGTATGAACGGCGACTTTTTAGGAGTAGATGTATGAAGCTTCCCTTTGCGGCTATCTCTTCGTCCTCCTTTTTGATCTTGGAATCAACTGTAGTATACATGTCAACGTTAAGACTTGAGAGAGATCAAGCGATTCTGGAGACAGGGTGATCATTGACATTGAACGGAAGCGGAATCTGAAATTCCTACCAAACTGCCTTTGACCAGTCAGCGTTGAGAAGGACTGAATATCCGAGTCCGAGGACATCGAAAGCAAAACGAAACTGATTATTATATTCGGGGCAATTTTTTTTTTTAGCAATTTTTTTGTAATTCCGTCAAATTGAATTTCTTTTTTGGGCCAAGCCGTCAGATTAAATTGAAGCGCCCGCGCGCACTTGATTGAAGGTAGCTAAAGTGTCGTGGCTTGTGATCATTGGTCAATATTTAAATCTTATTCTCCAAGACTTAAATATTATTTTCATCCTATTTATAAATTACTTTTAATATTTTTATTAAAATAAAAAAATTAAATTTCATTAATGTTATTTAAAAATTAAATAAATGTTTAACTTTATTCTCATTAAATATATGTACCTTAAAAATAATAAAATACCTCATCATTTAATAACATTCTCTCCCAACATTTAACTGAGGCAATAAAGAGTAAATGTAAATACAATATTTAACGCCTGATACCACCTAGATTGAATGTTTTAGGCCTTTGTATGCTTTCGTATAGCTAGAGATTAGATCCTTGGTGTCGCCAGTTAATTGGGTTGGCTAGGTTAACTAATACGAATATGACTTCTATTTTCCAAAATAGCAGGGCGTTGGGTCTCGCTGGATTTTACTTTTTGATGTTTTTCTTAATTTCTTTGTTTCAATATTTCAATGTGATTGAGATAACAAAAAAAAACGGAAAAAGAAAAGAAAAACTTGTTGCAGTTATATATTCTGACCAATACAATAGTCTGTGATCTCTCTGCCTCGTTCTCTACTTTTTTCTGAGGATATTCACACCATCTTCACATACAACATCTTCTCCAATGGTAAAACCTTCTTCATCAACATTTAATTTCCTCTTGTAGTAAAACTAGTTGTAGAACTTAAACTCAGGAATTGTTGGCTACATGTTTTTGCTAGCATAACGGGTTTGTGCCAAATACAGCTTTCAGAGACGAGTAAAGCTATCAATGAAAGAATTCCAATTACCATGAATAAACCTCCAAAGCTATAAGTGGTGAGACTGGGACTCACGTCGTTTGATCATAGGTCTTGGCCTTCATCAATATCATTACTTCTTCCAAAGTATTTCTTCTCAATCCAATCCATTTCTTTACTCTCTTACATTTAATATGGCTCTAGAAAAGTGCAACGTTAAGTTGGAGCCCCTTGGAAACGCCTGAAATTTTATATGAATGTTTGGACAGACATGTTAAAATGGCGCTATCGTACTCTCTCTACCTGACACTATTTTCAATTCTATTTATAAATCAATTTCAACATATTTTATCAAAATAAGTAAAAATCTTAAACCTTTATCTTAAAATTTAATAAGTTTAATTTCCACCTCTACTCTTGAGAAAAATAATTATTTTTAATAATTTTTCTTAACATTTAATAAAAGTAAAATGATAAAGATAAACATAGAAAATAATGAAATGCCCTAATATGATCAAAATTAATCTTCTTTCTCTACCCTATAAATAGGATAGGGAATAAGTATGTTGGCTAAAACTCCAATTTTATTTATATCTTACTTTCAATATGTTTTACTGAAATCAAGAAATATTTAAATTTATTAACTCTTCTTAAAAATTTATTAAATTTTAATTTTACTCCTATTAGATACACACACTTTCATAATGAAATACTCCCTCCATTTTTTATTATAAGAGAAATTATTATATGCCTCCTTGTTTAATAAACAAATTACACATTTTAATAAGCATTTATCACATTTTCTCCAAATTACACCTCATAAAGTCAATATTTATTTTCACAAAAAAAACTAACAAACTTCATCCTATGAATACTCCCTTAATCCTTGATATAAGATAAAATTGACAAACTTTATCCGCGTTTATTAAAAAATATTAGTTATAACTTTAAAATTATAAAAAAAATACGTAACTTTTCCTTTTTTTTTACTTTTCCTTTTAATTAATGAATAAATTGTTATTTAGGAATTCAAATAACAATAAATATAAAAAGGGTAAGTTTATCAAAAAAAATTAAAAATGATAAACTTGAAAAAACATTTATTACTTTAACTTCGTCCTATGTTTAGGACAAAAAACCTTTCAAACTTCATTTTATATATATTTAAGGACCGGAGTGTTTAAAAACACGGGGGCTATTTTCTTTCACCAACGTTTAATAGAGCTAAAAGGAAAATCTAATTGTAAAGCCAATGTCATGTTTTATAAATAAGATTAAAATATGGGTTCAATTAAAACGAAGAGGGATTGAAACTCACAAAACCAAATCCATCAATGCGGTCCCTGGTTCCAACCATGGCATAATTGGAACCATACTGCTTGAGGAAGATCTTAATGTATGGAACTTGATCAAAAATAGCATCGACGCCATCTTTATGACTTCCTCTGTCTAATGCCTCTTTATATTCTTTAATGTCAGAGTAATTCTTAACCATGGACCTATCAATCTTCAAGCGATCGACCAATAAACCTCCGACGAATGAGTCACGGTGGTCCCCAACATTAATGTTAGAGTCCATTATAACGTCATTCTCACAAGGGTAACGAGGTTGCAACTCATGTACTGTCAATATTGATGACAAGCACGCTGTGTAGCTTTGCATTAACACAAAAGCTAGTATCATCCACATCACCAATACGAACCTAGAACAATTCTTGGCCAATTAATAATCTCCTGCAAATCAAATAATAATAAATTTTTAAATTTGAATTTTACTGAAGGAATAGTACTATAATTTATTATAGTCACTTCATTTTATTTTGAAAACTTATGCAAACATTTAATGTAGAAAAGGCTTAAGACTCACTTTAAGGAAGAAATGCTTGAACAATGGGAAACCACAGGATGGAAATCCCATTCAGTTTTTGGCTGCTTGGAGATTTTTCAAGTCCTGAATGTACTTTAACCTTACGTTCCATGAACAATATGCTACCTCCAACAAAAATACAGGCAATGGCAAAGGACCACCACAAATCCCAGCTAAAAATCGTACAAAAATCCACATGTCCAACCGTGGGTCATGTCGAACTTTCACAAGCATCTTCACATCTGCCTTTGCATATGGTAACGTAAAATCCACATACTTTGACCGATTTGCCACAATCGTCACATCTCCAACCACAGCATCGTACTGTTCAATATTAAAAGGAGAGTTAATTAATGCCTTCTTATGTATAAAGTGCAGATACCTATTCTAACGAGTAAGCCTCGTTTTTAATATCAGGTTTCACTACTCTCTATTTCAGTAATCCAAATAAATAAATATCCTTGTTCCACAAACTAGCCAGGCCCAAGCCAAACTCTCGTGGCAATAAGATCTTATGTATGCAAAGAAGATTGAACGGGTGTATATATATATATATATATATATGTATATATCTAACCTTCCCTTCAAAAATCTGGTAGAGGAGTGTGTCGTAATTGCCGGCACTGTTCCCATCTTCATTTACGAAAGCTTCAAACTCGTAAGAAATCTTGTGCTGTAAACTCTAAAGGTAAGCTATTGTGGCATTGAAAACGTCAATGGAATAGCCCGTAGCCTTGAAGACCTGATTCTTGTTAGAAGAATTGAGTTGTAAATCCACAAACTCAGTGAAGCCTGATTTCTTATGGACTCCGATTATCAACTTCCTCCCTCCTAGCAGTGGACCTGCATCATCATCATCATTATGGCCTGCTCCAATCTGATGAGCTATTAACAACACAACACAAGAAGTCATCAGGAAGCCAAAACAATAGAAATTAGGGTTTGCCATCTATATGTGCCTGAAAACGAAGGAATTAAAGTTAAGTGGCTAGTTTTAGTTCCTGCAGCTACCTTTATATATAGCCGACATCACCATGCCGATAGATTCATTTATTTAATTGTTCTTATGAATTGAAGAGAAATTGTATGTTGAAGACCAATGTTATAATACTTTCAGTTGCTAAAAGTGACAATTTCGAGGAAGTTCAGCAGTGTGGTCCCTTGCCTGTTAAATGAAAGCTTCTTGCCATATTGTGGAATGACTTGACCGTCAAGAGCTCCTAAATTGCTGGCGGGGACCACATTAGAATACACGCGCGCGCGCACTAGGTCTCGATCTCTAGTAGCGTAAAGGTTAAGAAACGACTATAATATACACTTGTCATTTGTCAAATCTTTAAAAATAAGACTTATGTTTATAATAAAAAATTAATAGGGTTGAAGTTCAATTTTATCACTGTATTTTTTTTAAGTGCTGGGCATCTTATATTTTTAAGTGGAATAATTTTATTTCAAAATTATTTTTCGAAGGAACAAAAACACCCTTCCATTAATCAACCATTAATTTTTCATTTTCTGTTGATGTGACATGTGTATGGGGCCTACATATAGTGAAATCTAAGACTTTGATCACATTCTTTAGTGCTAATTTACCTCTAAATTTTTTTAAAAGCACTAAATACCTTAAAATCTTTTTCTAGGAGTGTTTGATACCCTAAAATTTTGTTAAAAAAATTTAATAAATATTATTAAATATTAACTATTTTAATATTTAATAATTTAAATATTACTATTTAAAACATTCCACCACCGAATTTAATATTATGATATTTTACAATTTTGTATTAAAAATGAAGTAAATGAACCTTCAAGTTAATGAAGGAATTTTTTTCTTTTCATCTCTCCATTTTTCTATTGTTACATAATTTTTTTAGCATATTGATGAAATATGCGATATCTTTCAAATAAATAGTTTTTTTGTCATATTATTGATCCCGATTTATGATGTTTATAATTTTATTATTAACATTGCAATGTACATAGAATATTAAATTTGGATAATGTAATATTTTGGAGGAAGATCATTAGTTGACCAAAAAAGTTAAGAAACTTAATCAATATTAAAAATATAAGTAAATTTTGACATATATAAAAGATGTAACAGTTTGGGTACTGTATCACAAAGAAGATTGAAGATCGATATATAAAAAATAAAAAGTCATCTATAAAGTTATAACATACTAGCAAAAATAATATTTAAACATAAAAAATATTAAATTGGGTGGTGTAATGTTTTAAATAATAATATTTAATTTTATTAAATATTAAAATACTTAATATTTTAATAATATTTATTCAATCTTGTTTTAACAAGATTTTAGGGTGCCCAACACTCTTAGAAACAAACTTTAGAGTGTTTAACGTTCCTAAAAAAGAGTTCAGGTGCAAATTAGTACAAAAAATATGATTAAAATCTTACATGTCACTATGCGTGGACTCCACGCACATACCATGTCAGTGAAAAATGAAAAAATTAATAGTTTGATTAATAGAAGGAGGTTTTTGCTCTTCCAAAAAATAGTTTAAGAGTAAAATTGTCCATTTAAAAGTATGGAGTGCCTAACACTCATAAAAAATAAGTATCGGGGTAAAATTAAACCTAAATCCAAACTAATATTATATACAAAAATAATGTTTTTTGGTTATACTTTAAACAACTATCTTCTCCTATCCTAAATGTAAAATTAAATCTATTTGAAGATATTGATTTGGTTCTAAATATAAGGTTTCATTCTTTCTTGTTTCTTATATTTAGTTGTTTGAGTACAAATGAACTTAAATTAATATAAGAAATCTCACATTGGATAAAACTAAGCTTAATAGTACTATAAAATAAAAGGGAATAACTTATAAATTTAAACCTTGAGGTTTTAAGTCAACATATGATGTTTTTTTGCCATTCTTGCTTATTTGTACTCCCACCATTTATGTCCAATTTAAGACCGAAAAGAGTATTTATGGAGATGAACTTTCTTGTGATATGGTGAATTTTTTAATTAAATATAAAATTTAAAAATGACATCGTTTACTACGTAAGGAAGATAATTAAGAGTCTAAATACATGAACCATGACTTCAAATAGCTTTGAGCCAGCTAGCTTTGGTTGATTCAAGACTTCACTCCTCACTACTGTTCCAACACTGGCTGATGGTTAGTGTGCCGCACACACTCAACCTACAAATTGCAAGTTCGAACTGGCAGACCAAAAAAAAAAAAAACACAAAAGAAAACAAAAGAAAACATTGAGGATCGTCCAGAAAATTAGAAATTGAATAGATATTTCGTCTTTAATTTTTTTATACTTCTTAAAAATGTATACGACGGTAAGCAGATTGCATTTTATTACACATTTACTTTTCGAAAGTAATAAATATTAAAATAATCTAAATAAAATTTGAATCTTTCAAATCTAAGACAAAATCATGTAATATTAAAATGTGCGTATTATAATAAATACAATTTATATTTAAAATATAAAATATTGAAATTTATTAATATTCAAATTTGAGATATTTCTAAGAAACTACATTATATCGATCTATTAATATTTTCACAATATTCGACTAAATTGATTTCATAAACAAATGTGAGTGCAGGAGAAAATAGTCGAAATTCCAAGTTCCTTGGGCCATTTACCCGTCAAAGGGTGCAGTTAACCGCTCACCTTGGACTGGTTCGTGTATTGAATCGCATTGATTTAATTACTCAACTGTATTCAAGTTATAGTTGCCAGTCTGAATTAAAATAATATATGTTAAAAATATGTATGAAAATAAAAATATTTTAGATAATATTTAATTTATTTATATTATTATTATTATTATTATTATTATTATATGTCAAATTTGAAGTCAATTGCACCACCATCATAATAAAACTATTTATTTTCCATTTTGAATCACCAAAATAATCAAATATTGCATTAATTATCTAATTAAACCAATACAAGCTTCTATTATACACACACACACACACACATAATGCAAGAGACAAACCAACAACGAAACAAATAAAAATACAAAATAACATAATTTTAATTTGGATTATTGAGAATTGGCTTTTTTAAAAAATAAAAACTAAAAAACAGTCACTTTTTTGCCAGTTATGGTATTGTTCTGGAACGGACTAAGCGTCGATTCTGGTTGGCCTAGTTGGATTTTGAGAACTTTGTGCAGAACCCTTTCCCATTTGACTTATTTTTTCAGAACATCGAGTCAACAATGTTTTGCTACAAGCTTTTGCCAACATGATAGGGTTTCTCCAAACACCACTTTCTGAAACCAGCAAAGCCAAAACTGTAAGGCCTCCTATCACAATGAACAAACCTCCAAAACTATATGTGGTGAGACTAGTTCTGGTATTGTCAGACGACAACATCATCTGTTCTTGGAGTTCATCGTCCACGTCACTACTTCCAAAATATTTCCTTTCAATCTGCTCCATTCCGTCACTTTCAGTGATATTTAATATGGCTCTTGAAAAGTACGAGGTTATGTTGGAGTCTTTTGGAAATGCCTGAAGACAGAGTGCAAACTGTTAAAAGTTGGAACAATGAAGGCTTTCGGATATGTTGATGCAAAATCTCAAGTTTATCACTAAAAATCATTTGTCCAGTCATTAATTCATATATACTAGATTTGTTTCCCGTACATTAGACATTCAAAAAATTATCCCCCCTTTGGCTCTAAGAAGAATCTCCCCCACAGTTCTCAATATAAGACTTTACTTTTTGTCTATATAAAACATTAATTTTTTTACTAAATATATTTTGATTTAATATTTCTTGACTAATAACTAAAAACAACTTCATCTGATTAATAAATTTGATCGAGGTTAATTTTCAAATTTTACAAAAATTAACTTATTTTAACCAACTTCCTTAATTTATGTAAAATAATAAATAGATGTTTATAGAAAAGACCAAAGGGAATAATTGGCATTATATGTAAAATTTAAAGTATGACTTATAATTATTTTGTTTTTTTGCGTGAAAATTTTATATTTTATATTGGTATTTGAGATTTGAATAATACTCATAATGATATTAAAGTAGGGAAAGAAACTCACAAAACCAAAACCACCAGTGCGATAGCTGAGGCCAAACATGCCATAACTAAGACCAGATTCTTTGAGGAAGACCTTAATATAAGGAGCTTCATCAAAAATAGCATCTACACCACCATTTCCGCTTCCTTTATCTAACGCATCTTTGTATTCTTCGATGGTGCGGAAAGACTTGAGTCTTGATTCATCGAAGTTTAAGCGACCCACCAATAAATCTCTGACAAATGAGTCACGTTGGTATCCAATGTTAATTTGTGGATCTCTTACGAGATCATCAAAACCAAGGTAACTAGGCTGCAACTGATCTACTGTCAATATTGATGACAAGCTTGCTGTGTAGCTTTGCATGAGGATGCATGCTAATATCAACCACAACATCAACACAAACCTTGAGCAATTCTTCACTAATGACTCTCCTGCAAAAAATTTTAAAAAAATACAGTAAGTACTAATACATCGTGCATGTAAGATTATGCTTCTATAAATTTCAAATTAAACTAGAATAAAATTTACTTTCAGGGAGAATCGCATGTGATAAAGGAAGCCACAAGATCGACACTCTATTGATGAGTTGTCCTCTTTGATGTGGAATTTCAAGTCCTTCATTCTTATTAGCATTACGTTCCATGAACCATAGAGTGCCTCCTATGAAAATACTGAACATGACGATGGACAGCCAAAGATCCCAGGTAAAAGGTCGGACGAAACTCCACATGTTGGAGTTTTGATCTTGTCGAACTTTTACAAGCATCTTTACACCTGACTCCGCATATGGTAATGTAAGGTCTACATAATTTGATCGATTCGCCACAATCGTCACATCTCCCACAACAGCATCATACTTTTCATGACAACGACGAATCAAATATTAAATTTAATGTTGTCTTCGTGTGAACCACGGCACATATTAATCATTAAGACAGAAAAAGGAAGGAATTAATTAAATAGGGTAATTGTGTCTGACCTGTCCTGGAATATTTCTAAGTAGTGTGTCGTAGGTTCCTGCGCTGTCTCCATGGTCATTTACAAAAGCCCTAAACTCAAAAGAAATATTGAAGCCTGTGCTCTGAAGATGAGATACTGTGGCATTAAAAACCTCGATGGAGAAGCCTGTGACCTTCACCAACTGTCTCTTATCACTCGGATTCACTTGTGCGTCTACAAATTGAGTGAAACCAGGTTTCTTAGGCACACCAATTATCAACTTCTTTCCACCCAATAGTGGGACTGCACCATCACATGTTCTAATAAACTGAGCGATGAATAAAACGATAAAAGAAATGAGGTAGACGTAGTCATAGTAAGTGGACTTTGGTTTTGCCATATTTGTCATCTGAGGCACACTATATTAATTTGACCAGAAACGAAGGAATCGAAAACAGTGACTTGGTTTGATTTCAAGTTCTCATACGAAGTCTATGTGTTATAAATACAACAGCGAAGGGAAGTACGGCCCTTATTAATTAATTCAATATTCTTTGTCTTAAGCCAAACATGGTAATTTTTGAGGTCAGACAGACTGCAATGAAGCAAAAAATAGGATCTATAATTGGTTGGACAGTTACGCACGCTTCTTAATTAATTTGCCCAGCGGACCCCAATTATTGTGGAAGATATCTGTTAATTTGTAGGATAATATATGTGTGTGGTTTAGTTTTGAGGACCATTTGATGGAACTGCGAGAAACATACAAATGAAAAGTCCTTCCTGTAGATGACACTCAAGTTAAATAGTATGTTAAAACATAAGATTTCGTATTTTGTTGCTTGTGAGAATTGCTTTGAATTATAAGGTAAATATATATAGCAAGGGTACCCCTTGTTTATTTTTAATGTGAACTTTTAAATTCATTTCAAACCGTCCGTTTGGCTCGGATTATACAATAATTATTTCTCTTCACTTTTTTGCATGTGCACTGGATATCCAGAATCATTTAGACCTTACCTAATCCAAATCCAGCCATGTCAGACAACACTGACAGCAAGCTCTTCTAACAAGTATTTAACGTTACATGGTTTCATATCTAAGACTCAAACTCAAGACTTTTGATTAAACTAGCACAGCCTCTAAACCAACTGAGCTGTTCTCTTTTGTTCCTTGTTTTCCTTTCAATCTAAAATTTGGGAAGGGGTAATCAATTAACACAGCATCATCCTATATTTAAAGATAAAATACTTTTATGACAGTTTTTGACAACATTTGCCGTAATAATCCTGTTCAAAACAAAAATTTAGACAAAGATATGTTTTATAATCAAATCCAGTACGCATGTAACGCAAATTAATTGGATGTAATTAGAATCAGCTGGATTGTGACGTTGAGATGACTTACACACCTGGATGCTTCGGTGAAATTGGGAATAAAATCATAACCCTTAAATTAGTTCCGTGTTTTAGACATGCCACCAAAATAATTGTGTCATCAGAAAATTATTAATAAGTTTCTAAAGGCTGGCCACTTGATAGATTAAATCCTTAATCATAATTAAAGATGTATGATGCAAACGCTTGGTGCCAAATATCAAACTTATATGCATGTTTTTAGGAGGAGGCAGAATCTCAGTAGCAGTTAGCTGTCCAATCACACTGCACTGCTCAAAATTTTTATATTATTACATTTATATGCCAAAAAATTTCAGTGAATAAGTAAATATTTTTTATTAAACAGATCAATTATTTATAGTCAAAGTGAAGCAAGCATTTGCTCTGACATATTAATCTTCTATGTTTGACATATTCGACATGAAAATTGCCGGCGCTGAATATTTTTAAAGATCAATCTCAGTTTCTTCCAATTTAATGTTAATCCATTCAAAAACGGAAACTAGTTTGTTTAGAACAAAGAATTAATCAAGTTGAAACATAGTAGAATTTGAATTAATAGACGATCGATCCATGTCCATTAGCTATATCTTCTTCATAATTTACTTAATTCTTTCTATGGGTTGAACATCAGCTTGACTCATTCATCGTAACAAATCTTTTTTTTTTTTTGACGAATTAAGATTCAAACTGGCCAAAAATCTATCGTCCATATATAAAGATACAGGCACACAGCATGCGGCTTGCCCGAACGTAGTAAAAAGGATCATGAAATTAATATTTGAATTGATTAAAATCCAATTCAACACTGTGTTTGGAGGTAGGAGATTCAGATTTGAATTTGGATCCACAAAAATTTATAAATTTTGGACTTGATCCAAATTCAAATGCATATTTTATTATGATTTTTTTAATTTTAATCTTTTATGTTTCTCATTTCCCAAATTATTAACATCTTGTTTGGCTGCCTATTTTGGGTTCCAAAGTAGACCCCCAAAATAGACGCATGCACACACATAAACACCCACAATCACATATACACCATACCAAAACCAAAATTTAAATGTACGATATGGCCAACTTGAAAAACAGGCTGAGCTCACAGGACCAGCTTATTTAAGCATGATAATTGCTAGGGTTGGATTTGAGTTTTAGAACTTCACCACAAAACATGAGCTTATAAGAGCCAGCCCTAATGGGCTTAGGGCTGAGGGCCAGCTCGTTTAGATCCATTTATTTATTTATATTTTAAAATATTATTTATTGTATAATATTATTAATATTTTTGATAATATTTCAAATATTTAGTCGTTATAGTAGCTTTTTTATAATTAAAATTTACATAATACTTTAGTTTGTTTAATATTTTTTGGATAAAGTTTGGTTTATTTAATTCTAAACAATGATTTCTTTGGACCAAAAAAATAATTGTTTGATCTAATTTAGATTATAAGCAATAATTTGATTCATATTACGTATGTGTGATAATATTTTTACATTATATATTTTTAATAATAGTGTATTTTTATATTTATATAATTTTGTATTGTCTGACTCCAATTAGCAATTTATAAATTTAATGTTTTATTATTTAAAATAAGGGTATTTTTGCATAATCAAGATATTGTTGATATTAATAATTAAGATGTTGCGTATCTGATTTGACATCAAAATAAGATTTTATATTGCAATGGAATAGATGAATTATTTTTAATTTAAAAAATGAAAAAAAAATAAAAGAACAAGAAGCCCACAAGGCCAACCTTAAACCCATTTTGTTTAAGGTCGGACTTTAGATATGAGCCTTTCAAAATATACTTGAGCTTAAATGGGCTGATCCTTTATGGTCAGGCCAGCCCATTTTCTCAGCTCTACTCAAATTCTCTCAATCATGTTCTCATCAAATTAAGTGCCTTAAATGAAAATTTGAAATTATGATTTAATTAAAGAAAAAACTTAAAAATGTGATTTAATTAAGGAAAAGTCAAATCGAAATTAATAAAATTCTAATTTAATGTGATTATGTCTTGATTGGAATTTGATTTAATTAAAATAAAAATTTGAAAATTTGATTTAATTGAGGAAAAGTCAAATAGAAATTAAAAAGGTTTTGATTTGAGGTGATTATGTATTGATTGAGCCATTGAACAAGCAAAACCCTAGTAGTGCTTATAAAAGGGAGAGCAATGGAACGGAGGAGAATTTTTTTTTTTTTTTAAAGGCAAAAGGAGTGTGAGTGAAATAAGGGTCATTGTAGAACGGTGTGGTAATGTATCGCTCTTTGTGTTAATGTTTTTTACTTCGTCTTTTGCGCTTCTTTTTCCCTTCTTTTCGTCTTTTAATTATGTTCTTATAATTGTTTGTGACGAGTGTGAATGCATTGCTATGCACCACACAGTCATAATAGTCAAGATGTTTAAATGTGAATATTTGGAGCTACTACGTTCTCGTGATTGATCCAGTCTTGGTTTTTTAAATATATATATATATATTCAATGGTGAAAAAGTTTCATAAATTGTTTTATGCATCATTAAAAGGTAAATGGATTTCATGAGCTCTTGTAAATTATAATCTTATGAATTTTTCATGAGTGACACTAAATTACTGTGAATATTTGACGCATTGTAAATGATATTAAATCACCACAATTGTCAAATAAAAAAATTCTATTTGTATATTATTTGCAAAATGATAAAACTTATTGGCAATTTTTTTAGGATATGTCATAAGTGGTATTAAGTCACTATGGATACATATTACCTAAAAGCCGCAAATGAGATATCATGAATAACATTAAGTCATTGCAATTAAAAATAACAATACAATACTATAAGTGATACTAAATCATAGTATTCGAGATATCATGAATGACACTAATCATCATAGGTATCAAACTTTGTATTAAAATTTTTTAATTAAATTATTTTGTAGGAAATTCACTTTGAAAATTTCATTAGAGTTTGCCATCAGTACTACTAAATTACCGTGTGCACTTAAAGCGTCAACTAGCAAATTGTGAACGATACAAAATCACTATAGGTTCCAATACTAATCATTTTTCTCTTACCCAAAGTTACTTCCTTGGAACAAATTTTTATTTAAAAAATAAATATAATTATTAACCCAAAATAACATTTTTTCATAAAAAATTAATTAAAAGAATCAAAAAATCTAATTAAATAATAATATTCCAAACTATATGGACTTTGATCCACATCATAAGATACATAGGCCCTAAGCTTTTATACTAAGTTAAGTCTTTCCATGTAAATAAATAATTTATTTTCATTATTTTTTATTTTCTTTTTGCATGTGGCTATAAAGGATAATTAAGATGATATTAAAAGGCTAATTTAATTTTATACTATCAACATCGTGTAATCGTTCTTATAAATAGGTATTTTGGGGTATCTAATATCTTTCAATTACTGTAAAATATACATTTTACATTTATCAATTTACATCACTTTTTATAAAAGTGACATAAAAAATAAAAGCGGTGACATTTTGTAAATAAGTGTTAAATATGTAAGACAATTAATGTCACTTTTCATAAAAGTGACGTCAAAATTTAAAACCACGTCATTTTATAGAGAACGATGAGGATTGTGAAAAAAAAATATTTTGAATTATTAATTTTTGGATGTAATCCACGTCTCTTTTTTAGAAAGCAATGTGAATTATCAAAAATAAATTATTTTAAATTATTAATTTTTGGACATTATCCATGTCATTTTGTTAGAAAGCGATGTGAATTATAAAAAATAAATTATTTTAAATTATTAATTTTTTGGACATTTTTCACGTCACTTCCTAAAAAAGCGATGTGGATTGTAGAAAATAAATTATTTTAAATTATTAATTTTCTAGGCATTTTCCATATCACTTTCTAAAAAAGAGATGTGAATTTCAATAAGCTTTATTAAATAAAATCAAGTTTCCCCCTCACTCCATCATTTTGTGTTTTGAAACCTAACTTCTCTCCCTTCAATAACAGTACCT